AAAAAAAAAAAAAAAGGAATGGGGGATGCTGACGTGAGATTTAGGCTGTCTCCTCTCCAGACTTAGAGGCTCAGGGCTAGACTCAAACATCTGTTGTCCCATTTCGCAGATGGTGGACTGAGGTTTAGCGAGGCAGAGACCTAGAACCCATTTCTGTAGACCTACAGACCACATATGATGGTTGAGAGGTTGGGGCCAGGTCATCTGGGTTTGAATCCCAGCTGTGTGACCTTGGGCAAACACTTCTGTAACTTGGGAACCATAATAGTGCCTCCCTCTGAAAAAGAGTTATTTTGTATACAGGGCTTATCACAGGGTTTGATGCATACATTCTATATGATTACTATTATTGTTATTATTTTAGGTACTGGGTCTTGCTCTGTTGCCCAGGCTGGAGTGCAGTGGCCCGATCACGACTCACTGCAGCCTCAACCTCCTCAGCTCAAGCAATCCTCCCACCTCAGCCTCTTCAGTATCAGGGACCACAGGCGGGCGCCACCAAACCTGACTTATTTATTTATTTATTTATTTTTATTTTATATATTTTTTGAGACAGAGTCTTGCTCTGTCACCAGTCTGGAGTGCAGTGGCGCGATCTCGGCTCACTGCAATCTTCGCCTCCTGGGTTCAAGCAATTCCCCTGCCTCAGCCTACTGAGTAGCGGGGACTACAGGCACATGCCACCGCGCCCAGCTAATTCTTTGTATTTTAGTAGAGACGGGGTTTTACCATGTTGGCCAGGATGGTCTCGAACTCGTGACCTCGTGATCTGCCCGCCTTGGCCTCCCAAAGTGCTGGGATTACAGGCGTGAGCCACTGCGCTCGCTCGGCCAATATTTTTATTTTTGTAGGGACAGGGTTTTGTTATATTGCCCAGGGTTTTGCTATGTTGCCCTGGCTGGTCTCGAACTCCTGGCCTAAAGCGATCCTCCCACCTTGGCGCCCCAAAGTGCTGGGATTAGGGATGTGAGCCATGGTGCCCGGCTTATTACTGAGGAGGGCATGGGAGTCCCCTCCCCTTCAGAGAGTGTGACCGACTGCTCTGCTCTGTGGCTTCAGCTAAAACGCTGTCCTCAGCTCCTCCTCTGAACTATGGAAGCAGGTGCTTGGCCTCTTGTTAGGAACTCTGTAGAGCTAGAAATGCCCCTGATCCCCGATTTCCCAATTTTGGGACTATAGGAGTCCACGCAGTACCAAGCACCCCCACACTGTCCTGACCCTACTTCCACTTGGCACCGTGGCCCAAATGGGGTCGATTAAGTCCATGCTATGCCACATCAGTGCTGTGACCTCAGCCAGCCCCTGATGCCTCTGAGCCCCGGAATGCCCATCCAGGTAATGGGGGGCTGGACGCCGCCGGGGCTCTCTTAGCCCCCGCCTTCCCCCCCTCCAGCTCGGGGACAATAGACAAGATGTTTATCCCCCGCCGGCGCACATGTTGTTCGCGGTAATGACAGTAATCAGCGGCGCTAATGCCGCATTCTCTCCGCGCCAGTCAATTCGCCTAATTACCGCCTGGGAAGCCGGATTATTTAAATTTAAATGGTGATTTATTGCGAGCTTAATCAATGCTATTTTCTCTCCCCCCTCTTCCCCTGGGACGGGGCAGGAGGGGAATTGGAGCCCCTCCAACCCCACCCTAAGGACACCCTCTTCTCCTGGAGGGGTGGGGACAGGGGTAGCCTGGGGTGCCCTGAGACTTCAGATAAACACCACTCACACCTTATCCTCATAACCGCAAAGCTGTAACAAACACATAAAATAGAAGTAATAATAACAACATAACAACACTTCTATGTCTCAATAATAAAGTCTGAGTAATAATAATAAACTTAGATATTTATCTGAGTTTATATTTTTACATATTCTAGATTATACTACTTTGCCTATTTCTTTATTGTGCCTTGGCCACTAGGATGCCAGCCGCTCCGGGGCAGGGACTTCTGTCTAGTTTGTTTCTCCTGCTGGATCCCAGCGCTCAGAAAAGTGCCAGACAGGCAGGAAATGCTCCAAAAGCGGCAGCCCCCACCGCCCCCTCCTCCACGCCCCGAACCCCTCCAGCAGCCCTGCAGGTCACTGCTGCTAACAGCATTGGCAGCATAGCGGTGGCTTGCTCTGAGCTAGGCACTTCCAGGGACTTTGCAAATATGACCTGGTTGATTCTCTGCTCAGCCCCCTGGGGGAGGTTGGACCGTTTGTCCCACTTCACATTAAGGCACAGAGAAGTGAGGCGACCTGCCCGGGGTGGCAAATCTGGGGGATGGCTGCGCGGCGACAGCAACATGGGGCATCTTCCCGAAGTTCCCCATCTCATCCGCCACATCATACTATCTCCCTCTTGCTCCTCCAACTGGGGGCCCAGACTGTACAGTCCTTGCGTCCCCTCTGGGGCCCCTCAGGTCTGGCTCCAGGGTCTCTCGCCCATTAGCGAATGGACGTCCCAAGTCAGGGTGGGTCTCCTCTGTCCCGCTCATGCAGCTGGGAGTCTCTTTGGTTATAATAATGATTCCTCTCTCCTAATAAAATACAGGAATAGCATTTACCAGTGACCCCTAGCACTGCCAGGACCTTGTTTAGGGCAGAATTCACGAAATCTTCCCAACCTCTGGCGCCCATTTGACAATTTAATAAACTGAGGCTTGAAGAGCAGAAGCCACCTGATAGGGGCACGCAAAAGTCCTGGCTGACTCCAGAGACAAGCATCTGGGAGAGGGCAGATTCGCAGCGCAGACCCGGGCTGCAGTGACTTGGCCACCAG